GTTGCATGCCTTCCATACACCTGCCTATTATCATACGATCGCGGGATCACCCACGATTATCGTACGATAATCGGCAGGTGTATGGGCACCTTCACAGTTCATATTCTCTAGAAAGTATCCACACCCTGAGTGAACCTATCCCCTGCCAGGATGCTGCAGAAAAAGAGCCTTGCTCTGTATGTGAAAGCAGTCAACTCTCTGCAGAGGTCCAACACAGCTTCTGCAGATTGCAGAGCTATAGGTCTTATAGGTTTCTTTAATAAAAACAAACTGTAAAACTATACACACTTTTTTGTTCCTGGAATATGTTCAGCCAACCTAAACTGAAAGTTTAAATGTGCTTTAGAATTCAGAAATCATTATTTAAAATAGATTTTACATTTTATGCCATCTTAATAAGACTGTGCCAATGCTAATTCTACAGAAATGGTTAGGAGAAATTATCTTATTTCCATCAATAATTAAGGGGTTTTACTGTTCTTGAAATGCTACTATTATTTCCTTTTGTCATATTATTATTATTTATTATAAGTTACTTTCATTTCAAAGTCTAACTAATATAATATTTTAATCTAGGAAATCACAGGACAATTGTCCAATTAATTTCTGTTTGAGTGATATTAAAACAAAGATAACAAGCTTTCTGCAACTATTACAATTCAGTGCAGCAGACAAATGTTTCTGAACAGTTCTATCTTATCCAATATTTATGTTAACATGGAAATATACAGGGCTTTTTTTAAATGAAATCCATCTTTATTCAAAGAACAGGAGTAGAATTGCAAATTAAGTAGTAGTGATATTCCATAGAAGCTTAAAATGGTACAACTCACTGATTGTATATGACAGTAAAATCCTAGAAAAGTCTGCATTTGGCTTTCAAAATGCAATAGGGATGTTTCCTCAATGTCTCTTTCTTGCTTTGCTATAAAATGTCATAGAACTTTGACAGTGTGTAAAGTCTGAATTTATGTAGTTTTTAAATTTACAGGAGGAAATGTTGTTGCATCAAGTCTGCAGGAGCTACACCAGCAAAGGAATGAACTGAGATATAGCAGATACCTCAATATGAATAGCAATTGCTTCATTCAGACTGTTGCAAGTCCATTAAATTCTCACTGCTGACCTGAATGTTCTATCACAGAATGCCCATGTTTATAACTTTGACCACCTGTTAGGGAAACTTATTTTGGATTGCATATTTTTTTGTTTACTTATTTTTGTACAGAAGTTTTAAGATTTTTTTTTTTGTAAGTTTCAAGAAAATAACAATTGTAAGGTGATAACAGATTATAGATTTATAACAGTGGTAAGCAACTAGTTAAAAATATAGACATAAATATAGACATATTGTCTCTACTTTACATAAAACATCACTATCATATATCATTTATAATGATTCCAGTAGTTGATTTACTAAGTTGAGTTGAGACTCTTCCTCTACAAAGTGAATGTTCATTAAGTAAATTAAGTGAAGCTGTGTTTACTTTGAATACCTGATCATGACCAAAGGTCAGTAATAAAAAAGGATATTTGGATTGCACATGATTGAAGTGTACACAGCTTCACTTAATTTACTTTGATAAGCAGTCTCCACTCCGTTAGTAAATCAATTCTATAAAGTTTAAGTAACAGGGATTATATTAATTTGATGTACCTTCCAAAGCTAAAAAGACCTACAATATCTCTAAAACATGGAAAATAATCAATTTAGGATTTTAGAACTACATACAGTAACTTTTGTGATGTTTGGGTAAACTTTTTTTAGACTCCAAAGTGCAATATCTCAGTATTCTGCTAAAATAATAGAAAAAATTGAAATTTCTTTTTTAGAATATGCTGTATATATTTTACTGAACCCAGATGAGCAGAAATCAATATATCATTAAAGAAAAACTCAAGGAAGGTTTTTTTTTTTAACCTAGACACAAACAAGCACTTAACCCTTCCTTAAAGCTTGTGAACTAGAAAAAAAAATTAAGTACAAACTATAAAATAGAGTATATTAATACATGCTTCTATTGAAAACAAATGTCATAGCAACTAACCATAAAAGAGTAATTACAAAATATTTAATATGCTGACTATGAGGGAGTAAAACTGACACATATAAAAATCTTTATAGAGAGAATGTATCTACATGTGACATGTGCTATTTATTTGCCCTTTTGAAAGGGAGATGATTTGCTAAACCATTGATTTTTAAGCTTGGCCTGGTGAATATGTTATCATGTTAATCCCACTCAGAGGATTTTAATGTGCAGAAACTTCCCTAAACTTGATTAGATGCATAAAACACATACGTATCTATTGGGTTAAGAGTGAAAATGGACTGTATTGTGCATCTATCTTCCTCAAATTAGAAGATATCATAGGGGTCATTTCCTCCTGTCCTGCTGCACCATTGGAAATAAACAGTCTACAAATGCATGTTAAATGAGAGGACAGTTTTTTAAATTATTTATAACTCAGTTGGTGGCTAAAAAGGAGCGCTGACAAATGTTTATAATAAAGCCTACTGTTACCGACAAAAGTCAATTTTTGTATTTTGAATAGAGTAGTAAAGAGTCCAATATTCTGCAAGGCTTTCATTTCTGCAGTAACCCCATTAGACAAAATTACACTCACTTTTTTCCTCGTGACACCAGAAATAGAAATTAGGGGAACGAATGTCACCAATTTATAAAGGTATATAAAAGGTAATAAAATCCAGATGGTTTTACTAAAAAAACTTCTACTAAACACACATGTTGCTGTTCTTGCCCCTTTGGACATTTCCAATTCCTTTCAACCATAACCTTTCCCCCATTCCTACCAAAACTAATAATAACAGATATTTTCTCTGGATTCTGGCTTTAATCGAACATATGAGTGGAACCTAGAACTTTTCCTAATCTATACTATATATATATAATATATATATCTTACATCCCTAGCCCAAAAATGTATATAAGGTATTACTTTGTCATGATGGTCTAGAATAGAATATTAGTTCTTCTGCTGAGTGATGAAACAAGTATCATACTTCATTACAATGTAATATAATGTAATTCCAATTGAGCAGATAAAAGCCCCTAACATAAAACTTGGCACCTTAATGGAGCACATTACTAAAAAAGGAGGCTCTAAAGTTTGAATAAAAAAATAATA